ATATATATATATATATATATATATATATATATATATATATATATATATATTTAAATTTTTTAAAAATATATATTATTCAAACTTTTTAAAATTTAAGATTATTTTGGAAACGATATTACAAAGTTATTAAAAAGCTTCAGAGTATTTTTTTTAAATGATATTTAACCATTTTCATCCAAATTTAAGGGAATTTTGAAGATTTTTTTTTAAAAAAAGTTTTTAGGTTAGTATTAAAATTTATATTATTTTTATTAATTTAACCAATAGGTTATCCATTTGGAAAGCGCCAATCTCATAACATTAAGGCATCCGAGAGGGAGGGAAACGACCATGTGGGACTCCATTTTCTCCTTCCCTTCGTTTATAACGTGGGCGACGAGCAGAAGCGGAAGAGGCGCCATATTTCATCCAATACTTCTTCCTTGTCTACATTTCCCCAAAGGTTTAGTGCCAATTGCTTCTTGCATTCCGATTTTTTTCTTCTTTTGAATTCCTCGTTAACTTCCATGTTCTGCAGATGTGCTTTAAGTGTTCAAAGTCAGTTTTCGTCGGTATTACTTTAATTATCTACTAATCTCAACAATAGATTCGTTGAAAGTTGATTCCATTTTGGTTTTACTCTATCGAGGCATCAATTGTTTGATCTCTTTCGATGAGAATGTTGATCTAAGCCAGATTAATTTTCAAACTGGTATTGGTCTTCCAAAACTTCAAATGAATTCTTGAAGGTCCTGGTTGAATTTTATTCTTGTTTTCACGTATGATTTTAAGAAACATTAGATTTTAGTCAAATTTTAAAAAATTTAGATGTATGCTTTTGATGGCTTTTCTCGAGTTAGTTACGTTTGAAGGGGAAAATGTTTGCATAGAATAGATGATAAAGAATGGAGTGGGAATTGATTAGTTTTTTATAATACATTTGTTAATTTGTACTGTAAAGAAGATAAGTTGGAGGCTGCATTTAAGCTGTTGGACGAGGTAGAGTCGTCTTCAGTCTTGGTTGTCTGTTGTGTTCCCCATAAGGTGAAATCCGTATCTCGAGTCTTGCTTATATAGTTTCAATATCTCCGACCTAGATACGAGCACGCCGAGCTTTTCAGCGAGAAGCGTGAGTTAGACTTCCGTGTGGGCGGGCCTACTATCCATTTTGTTACTATGGAGCTGGGCGGTAAACAAGTAAATGCGATCCCGCCCTCCATCAGCTGGTGTGTGTGAGCTTCGCTCCTTATAGCTCTACACCGCCACTGGTCCCTTGTGTGAATCTAGATAAAGTGGAGGCGGAGGATTAGAATGTGATGACTGCACACATACTATGATACCTAAAGGGTTGTGCAGGGCTGGTAATATCGAGGGGGGCCCGACGACATTTGAATGACATGTATATGATAGGTTTTGCTTCAAACTTGGTAGCCTTAAATTGTCTAATTGACTGGTTGTGTAGAGCTGGACACATTGACCAAGCAATGAATTGTTTGAATCAATGGAAACAAGGGATTCTTTTATGTACTCCTCCTTGGTGCACAATCTTTGCAAGGCAAGGAGATTCCGTTGTGCGTCTGAGTTATTGCTTTTGTGTTTAAAAGATGGCACAAAGGTTCTTAAGTTGACACAACGTGCGGTTATTGAACATGTAACAGCCTAAACCCACCGTTAGTAGATATTGTCCTCTTTGGATTTTCCCTTTCGGGCTTTCCCTCAAGGTTTTTAAGACGCTCTGCTAGGGAGAGATTTTCACACTCTTATAAAGAATGCTTTGTTCTCCTCTCCAATCAATATGAGATCTCACACTCCACTCCCCCTTCGGAGCCCAGCGTCCTCGCTGGCACTCATTTCCCTCTCCAATCGATGTGGGATCTCACAGAACACAACTTGTTCTATAGGTTGTATGACTATGTCAACGAGTTCTAAGGAAGGGTATACCGACCCTGTTAGCCTCTTTCAAAGTCTAGTCCTTAAAGTTGCTTTAGTTGGACTTCTATGTCATTTTGGAGACTCTAGTATATCCTCTGTGTGGAGTAGTGGCTGAATTTTTGCTTTTGTGTAAACAGGTTTATTTTATCACTTCATACTGCTTCATTTTCAGCATGTTCTTGAGAATCTATGGGGATGTCTTATGGCCTCCAGCTCCTGGTGCACATTCAATTCAGGAACTTCTCTGTTTCCTCTTAAGTATTCACTTTTCAAAGTTTATCAAGCCAATTACGTTTTTATGAGACCTCCCGTCGGTTGGGGAGGAGAACGAAACATTATTTATAAGAGTGTGGAAACCTTTTTCTAGCAGACGCATTTTAAAAACTTTGAGGAGAAGCCCGAAAGAGAAAGCCCATAGAGGAAAATATCTAGTAGTGGTGGGCTTGGGCTATTACAAATAGTATTAGAGACAAGTTGCGGGCGATGTGCCAGTGAGGAGGTTGAGTTCCGAAGAGGTAGATTGGGGGGTGCCACATCGATTGGAGAAGGGAACGAGTGCCAACGAGGACGTTGGGTTCCGAAGGGGGTGGATTGTGAGATCCCACATCAGTTAGGGAGGAGAACGAAGCATTCTTTATAAAGGTGTGGAAACCTCTCCCTAGCATACGCGTTTTAAAAATCTTGAGAGATTACAACCAATCGTAAATGTTATTTATATCAAGGAGGAACCGATATGAACGAAGATGAGAAATTTCCTTAGAATTTGGCGGTATTTTTGCTTCCCTTTTAAATACTATGTTTGTACCAACCTAATCACAGTTCAATTGATTAACGTTATTAAAGCGTTATATCATCGACCAAGAGGTCATGAATTCAATTCCCTACCCACACAGTATTATATAATTTTTGGCTTTATTGCTGGTTAATGTGATGATAGGATGTTCGAGCAAAGCCATCACTCATCATCAAAAGAAATTGAATCGAAAAAACCATGGGAGGAGGAAGGCTAGAACCGTGCATGTTAATAGAAAATTACAGAACCGCTGCCCCCAGCAACATGATAATGAAACCTCGTTGTCTAAGGACACTGCCGACACGCTTGAGCTTGCTACCATCCTCCTTTCATTCCTCTGTATCATGAAAACGCTGCTCCTGTTTCCCCTCACGTTTGTAGCTGTCTGACCACATATCTCACACTGTCTATTATTAGAAACAGATGAAGCTGAATTGGCGTTGTAAAACCAAAATGACTGATATCTGAATGATGAACAGAGAATCTTTTACCTGTTGCCTCTATGCGTAAACCAAATCTCGGCGCAGTCACGGTGGGACATTCCGAGCTCGCCTTTGCAGCGACATCCGAGGTTTACAAGGTCCGAAGTTACCGACTGGTCGGAGCTCAAATGACATATCCTGCAAACCTTTTCATCACTAGAATTTGCATCATCCATTGACTCACCAGTGCTTTTTATGTCAATGATGCAGGTATGCTGGCTCTCAGGCTGTCTAGAGCTCTTACCAGCCCCCTCATGCTCATGCTCGTGGCTCCGCTCCGATCTTGCAAGTACTTCTTTTGCTTCTTCGGGTCTCGTCGGCAACACAATAACTATCTCGGGTTCATCTGGACTTGTTGTTCGACTCGATCCTTCCTCTTGTTCGATCATATCGAACGAGTTTACTTATCATGGAAGAACAATTGCTTGAATCAGCTCCAGGTAATTTGGGCTGGGTTCTTGGAAACAAGCATGGAAATGAATGATAAATGGGGAAGAATTAGACTGTTGTGTTTCTTTAGTACGAAGCAAGGGAGACTGACAACTACACGGAATTTCAACGAACTGTAAGGAATAAGCCTTTCTCCCTTGTTGGTTGCAGAGACAAGACAAGAATTTATGGGAAGAGAGCGATTATCCAGTGAGGCACAGCCCCACAACAAGTCTCAGTGTCTACAAATTGCTTCTGAAACTTTCCAGATCTCAAAGAGTTGTAAGCTTCCCAACTCTTAAATCAAATTCAACTTGGCTTTATTATCTTTTGGGTTTGTGATTTACTTGATTGATTGAAAGTTGGTGGAAAACTCCCACACGTTTTCAATGATATGATCCCTTCCCCCTTCCCCACTTTAGTTTTTCAGGTTTGGATTTTGTAACTACTTTAACTGTGGAGGACACATTTTCTTAGGGGACCTTAAATTTTTTACGATCAAAATTTGTCAATTTCAAGTCGGAAGATGCCAAAGTTTGAAGAATTTGACCATCTGATTAGTAAAAACACTTTCTAAATATTTAGTCATCGCTCACTTTTTCTTTATTTTTAAAGGGAACTTATTAGTCATTTTTATTCATTTTTAAAAAGGTGCCTACCTCTTTCACTCGGTGTAGGAAATAAGAAAGTTTAACGTGTTAATGTGTTAATTTGTCGATCTGGAGAAAAAAATTATTTACGATAAAAATTTGTCAATTTTACACAGGCGATCTAACCACCTATTTAGTAAAAACACTTTCCAAACATTTAGTTATCGGTCCACTTTTTCTTTAGGGAACCCATTAGTCGTTTTTCTTTATTTTTTAAAATTTCTTGTCTCTCTCAATAGTGTAAGATAGAAGAGATTTATGAGTGAATTATTCAAGAATCGAAGAGAAGAAATCTCCAAAAAAAAAGTAGAGGAAACATTACATTACACGATCAGTCAAGCTAAGAGAGAAAAGTGGCCATCCTTTCCTTTCAATCAAGAAAGCGACCAACCAATTTCACTGATTACATTCATTCTTGTTTTTTTTTTTTTGGAGGAAAGTTGAGGTACACTGAGAAGATAAAAGGAGCATGCCCTCACCAATGTTAAATTTTAATGCTAAATTAGAGGAATAATCCTAATGAATACTTTTATTATTTCAAAAATCTATTTTCAAAACTATCGTTGATATATAAATTCATTAAGATGTTAAACAAAAAAATTGACAGTGTAATGTCGTTAATCATTGTTACATCGTTTTAGATGACTATTATGTTAATTTTTTAAAAAAATATTTTAATCAAATTTTACTTTGGTGATACTTTTGAAACGTTTAAAAAAAACATTGAAAATAATATTGTAAAATTAAAAAGAATAGGAATATTAATTTTTTATAGTAATGCCAAATTGGAAGAGTAGAATGAAATGAATTGAGAGTTATTTAAACCTAAGATTTAACTTGTTTGGAAAATATAAAATGGTTGTCGAGATTCTATTGCCGTTTTGACACCCTGACCTGTCCGTGAGTACGCGCCTTTCGAAGACGTGATTAGAAAAAAAGAAAATACAAATATATATATAAAGCGTTAGTCATCGAAAGTTAGATGTATATATTTAAAGCTCCGAGTCTGCGCTGCGCATTTCGAGGTTCTCATGTCTATTTGTTCAGTTGGAGCCTGAAGCCAGAGGTCTCTCTGTTTTCGCACCTCCACGAAATCTCCGCCGTTTTTTCGTCTGAGTTTTGTAAAGAGAACGGCGAGAGAGAGAGAGCTATCAGTTTGCTTGTTGGTGTTCATGGCGTTTCAAGCAGTGATTTCGAGGAAGGTTTTAGACCGGAGCTTGAGTAGCTTCGGCGTCGGAGCTAGATCCATGTCGTCTTGGTGGAAGAACGTCGAACCGGCTCCGAAAGATCCGATTCTAGGCGTTACTGAAGCTTTCTTGGCTGATCCGAGTCCTAGCAAAGTTAATGTTGGAGTTGTGAGCTTCTACTTCTTCTTGCCTTGTTCGCCTTGGATTTTGATACGGTTACTGTTTGATTGCTGTGTAGCTTTGTTTGTGATTTGTGCTTTTTATGCTTCTATTGAGTTTTAATAACTAAGAACACAACGTCGGAATGACAATCGAAGTTTCCAATGCGAACGATTCTAAAGTTTCATCATCTGAAAGGAAATCCACTCCCATTCGTTAATCTAAACTTTTTTCTCCATCTGTCTTTTGTCTATTTCGTGTTTCTTCATCTGATCTGTACTGTTCGCGCGCGCATTTGGTTAGCTTTCGCATTAAGCTTTTAGTTCGTCGTCCTGTTTTCCGTGGTTGAAACTTTTGCATCGCTCTAATCAATAATGAAATCGTTAAATATTGGGAGATTCCTGTGTCAGAACTGTTTAAGTTTGATTGTTGAATCTAGAAACAAGAGATTTTTCTTTCTTAGCTATTATTTTAATAATTCTGCTGCCTATGAGATTA